TCCACGAAAGCTTATGCGCTAATAAATTTGTTAGTCTCTAAGGTGCCACAAGTACTCCTGTTCTTCTTTTTGTAGCTATGGAGTAACTGATTTTCCCAGAATACATTATTGCTCCATTACTCTCTGCTAGGTGAGAACATAATGTATGCTGTACTTGTGAGCTCGAAGCTCCTACCTGGCAGGGCATAGCATTTATGGGTTGGCACACTATCAGTAATAAGTGTGTGATATATACTGTAAAATGTTGACAATAATCTTACACAGCACTCTACAGAATAAGTAATGACCTAAGATGTCTAAAGGGGGGAATAAATAATTGGTGAGAACAAGATAGGAGAGTCTTGCAAGAAGTAGGCCTTGAGCAGGAAAAGTGCAGGGGTAGAGAGAGAGAGAGTTCAGAGCCGTGGAAGGATGTGGGGGTTGGAAGGAGGGAAGAATGTACAGACTATTGAAGATGTGTATAAAAGGTAATGTTATTGCACTGCAGTGTAACCATTCTAACCTCCCTTGTCATCACACAGCTACAGAAAACAACAAACCACAGATGGAAGACACAGGCGAGAAGAGAGATCTTGGGAAAGATGAGCCAGGCCCCAAGATAGATGATCATGAACCCAGATTGGGACCAAGGCCACGGTCCCACAACAAAGTCCTCAATCCTCCTGGTGGCAAATCCAGCATTGCATTCTATTAGGAACATTCACTTTCACTAATGGAGTCAGCACAGAAACTTTATCTATGGGTCCTGAGGTTTGTTTTCAGACACTTGTATGGGGACAGATGCTTTAGGCAGGAGGACGGGGACTTTAGTGACTCATCTAATCCAAATGCAGGACATCTTGATGTTCAAGACTTCTGTAAAACATGTTAGTTATGGTACTTATGGAAATAACTGAAGACTCTTATGTGCTAGACAGTGCAGGATTCGGCGGGACAGTAGCTTAGATAGGTGCAAGAGGAGTGACCCTTTGTGGTGGGCAATTTAAAAAAAATACTCTTAAGCTTTCAGCCAGTTAGTAGCTCAGACTCTTGGACCGAAGCATTTCGGTACAGTCAGTATGGTGAAATTCCATCCCAGTGGATGGGGACCTTGGATGCCAGGCCTGGCATCTGTCCAATTGAGCCTAACAGGAACTAATGCTCTCCTAGGCAGTGTATCCTAACCTTAAGAAGCTAAAAATTGATCTACAACCATTTTAATATAAACATGCTCCATTCTAAGTGGTGGTGCTGGGTTCTCAAGAGTTCTACTTGGCCATAAGAAAAGGCTTCCTCCCCAGGTTTATTATGTTAAAACTCTCATTCTTCTGTGGCAGTCTCGCAAGCCATCAAGTTGTGTAAACTTTTGGAGCACTTCAGTAATAGTCTGTGCTGATATTCACTAGACAAAGAGAAAAATTATAGTTTAGTGTACTGTCTCATCCAGGCACTCCTGGAAAGATCTTATTTCACTGATGTCATGCAAGGGTGCCTCCAGCTTTCCTGGTAGGGAGGGCAGTGATTTGGGTACACACAGTTGCATCTATTGAAAGAACTCTGACAAACTACAGTAGTGTATAATTAGATTCTGGAAGCTGTCACAGGAGATCTCTAGTGAGCCAGCTTTAATGTCTCATCACCAACCTCTAAAAGCCCTCATGTACCGATGCGTTAGCTTCTGCAGGGTCCCCCCCCTGCTCTGTCTTGGAGAAATAATGGACTGTTCTGCTTGTATCCTCCAGTAGCTTTGTTTTTTGTTTCTATGCTGATTCTATTAGTGAAACCTCTGTTTTGTTAGCCATGGATTGCCTTTGACTGCCTTAGTTATTCCTTGGTAGTGTGGACAATCCAAGTTGCTCATCCACAAATACTCTTGTAGCTATTTCAAGACTGTTAATCCCTGTTCATCTGCTTGGGACAGTCTAGGGATCACTGCAATAGTCTTCTGGCACAGTGGCTGTTTTGAATTATGTTTGCAAGAATGTGCATTGTTTTCTCTAATTAGGTTTGGGGGGGGGGTTGAAGGAGGGCTCTCAAATTTCAGTTGTTAATTCTAACTGGACTTTCCTCATACATATCAAATACTGATTCTTTGGATAACACTAGGTGCTTAGACTGTTGGCCACCTGTAGTGATTTTTTTTTTTTAACTATCTAACTCATTACATACAGGAGTTCAGGTACACCAAAGACCAAGTGGCCTTATCTACACAATGGCTCCACATACCAGTAGCTCTTCTAGCCTAGGTTCACTGAAAACTATTTCTGTGACAAACTATTCAGAAGAGCTGTCTCTTAGCTAGGTGGTACAACAGCTTAGAGGTCATAATGATTGTTAAAGTGCCCAGCAAAGATGAATGACTGACTGTACCACAGAGACTCGCAGCTGCCTTTTAAGTTATGGAAGTGAAAATCCCTTTTTATAGGGTGGAAGTGGCAGGAATCTTATTGCCTCCTGTGCCTCTTCCACAGGAGGCCTGGCACTCCTGCTGCTGGCTGCCTCTAACTGTATGACGATGATGATCAGGATTGAGGGAGTGATATCCCAATCTGTTTTAGATTCATATTCCCCCATTATAGCAGTTTCCTAGTTGCTATTCCTATTTTGTAAGGGATCTCCTGTCCCCTTCTGCCTTGTTAGTGTTTTACTTTCCTTTCCAGTATGAGCTAGGCTTTTCCAGGGGTTAGCAGGTAGGAAAGGCCAACCAGTCTGCCCTTCTGCCTTCAGCTTTTGTATTGAAGGGTTTATCTGTGGGCAAGTCAGTGAGCTTAGATTCAAAGCTTGATATCTTATAGACTAACAGGAGCTGAAATACTGTTTTAAACAGCAGTTTCCATCTAAGTCTTAAACTACTATGGACTTCTGTCTGCATGTGTTAGCTAGCATTTCCCTCATTGGCATACACTCTGCTCAGTGTCTCAAGTCTAAGTTTGATAAGGACGCTGTGGTTTTTTTTTCTTTCTTTTCTTCTCCACACAGGGGCAAAAGGGGAATGGAACTTGTATTAATGGTTAAATCATGGACTTCTCAATAAACCACCATATTTTGTTACTTCACTGTGTGTAGCTGGGTACTCCTGTAAATAAGTCACTGTTCTAGTCTATAGCAAACACTTTAGCCTGTGATCAAATTCCATATAACATTTCTTGTGTAATATAATGAGCCTTCTCAAACACCTACTTCCTACCACAGTTAATTTTAAAGGTACTCCATCCTCTGACATGTTGCGGAAGCACTGTAGCCTAGAGCATGCCTGGAATCAGAATCTACACTAGCTTCCCCTGTGATGGATACAAAAATGAAAGTTCAGCAGCTTCCAACAGGCTGTGTTTAGATGCATTTTCTGCTGTTTAAGCCCCTTTCCATAAACTTTGAAACTGTCTGGATTTGCCTTTAATTGCTTTGCTATTGAGCATCTACACTTGTCCCTAGAAATTGATCCATATTTGTGAAAATTCATAGCTGTAAGCCTTTTCCCTATTGAAACAAATGTAAGTGCATAAAACTGTCCTTATATATCTAGCTGCTTTTGTTCTGTAGACTAGATACTCAGGCCTGGTCTACACTACGAGTTTAGGTCGAATTTAGCAGCGTTAATTCGAATTAAGCCTGGACACGTTCACACGACGAAGCCCTTTAAACCGGTTTCTTTACTCCACCTCTGAGGGGATTAGTGCTAAAATCAGCCTTTGCGGGTCGGATTTGGGGTAGTGTGGACAGAATTCGACGTTATTGGCCTCTGGGAGCTATCCCACAGTGCTTCATTGTGATGCACTGACCAGGTAGACAGGAAAAGCCCCGCGAACTTTTGAATTTCATTTCCTGTTTGCCCAACGAGGAGAGCACAGGTGACCATGATGGAGTCCCAGGATGGCGAAAGAGCTCCAGCATGGACCGAACGGGAGGTAGGGGATCTGCTCGCCATATGGGGAGATGAATCCGTGCTAGCTAAACTCCGTAGCAGTAAACGAAATGGCAAAATATTAGAAAAGGTCTCAAAGGCCATGAAGGACAGAGGCCATAACAGGGACGCACAGCAGTGCTGCATGAAAATTAAGGAGCTAAGGCAAGCCTACCACAAAGCCAGAGAGGCAAACGGAAGGTCCGGGGCAGAGCCGCAAACATGCCGCTTCTACGCGGAGCAGCATGCGATCCTAGGGGGTGCAGCCACTACTACCCCAACCGTGTGCTATGACTCAGTCAATGGAGAAACACGCAACAGGGAAGCGGGTTCGGGGTACGAGGAAGATAGCTCACAGCAGCAAGGAAGCGGAGAAACCGGTTTCCCCAACAGCCAGAAGATGTTTATCACCGTGCACCTGGAGCCAGTAACCCCCGAACTCACCCAAGGCGTGCTCCCAGATCCTGAGGGCACACAGGGGACCTCTGGTGAGTGTACCTTTGTAAATATTACACAGGGTTTAAAAGCAAGCATGTTTAATGATTAATTTGCCCTGGCAATCGCGGTCAGTACAGCTACTGGAAAAGTCTGTTAACGTGTATGGGGATGGAGCGGAAATCCTCCAGGGACATCTCCAGAAAGCTCTCCTTCATGTACTCGCAAAGCCTTTGCAAAAGGTTTCTGGGGAGGGCTGCCTTATCCCGTCCGCCATGGTAGGACACTTTATCACGCCAGGCCAGTAGCACGTAGTCTGGAATCATTGCATAACAAAGCATGGCAGCGTATGGTCCCGGTGTTTGCTGGCAGGCAGACAACATCCATTCCTTCACCCTTTTGTTATCCTCAGGAGAGTGATATCATTCACGGTTACCTGGTTGAAATAGGGTGATTTTATTAAGGGGACATTCAGAGGTGCCCGTTCCTGCTCGGCTGAACAGAAATGTTCCCCGCTGTTAGCCACGCGGTATGGGGAGGGGTGAAGTGATCATCCCAGAGAATTGGGTGTGGGAGGGAGGGAGGAGATTGTTGGGTTTGTGCTGCATGTTAACCTGGAAACCGCAGCCCCTCCTTTTACATTGCAAACCCATTTTAAATGGCCAACCCAAGGGGTGCTTGGTATGGGAAATGAGGGCGCTACTGTTTGAAACCATTCCCACATGTTAAGAAGGTTAAAAAAGCCAAAAGACTGTGGCTTACCATGGCTGCCTGCTAGCCGAAATCTGTTGCCTGGCACTGCGTGAGTGATCTCTCACACCAAACCGGCAGGCCCTCAATATAAGAGGAAAAATGCGACCTTGTAACGAAAGCACATGTACTGTGTAATGTGAACAGCAAAATTTAACGTGTACCCATTATTCTCTAAAATGTCTTTTTTAACGACCTCTCCCTTCTCCTCCACCAGCTGCAAATGTTTCTCCTTCACAGAGGCTAGCGAAGATTAGAAGGAGAAAACGGTGGACTCGGGCTGATATGTTCTCGGAGCTCCAGATGTCCTCCCACGCTGACAGAGCACAGCAGAATGCGTGGAGGCAGTCAATGTCAGACTACAGAAAAGCACAATATGAACGAGAGGAGAGGTGGCGGGCTGAATCGCGGGATGAACAGAGCAAGTGGCAGGCTGAAGATGATAGGTGGCGTCAGCTTGCAGACTGAAGGCTCTAGCATATGGTTGAGCTGCAGGAAAGGCAGCAGGAGCAGAGACTGCCGCTATAGCCCCTGTGTAACCAACAGCCCTCCTCCCCAAGTTGCATAGCCTCCTGACCCAGACGCCCAAGAACACAGTGGGGGGGCCTTAGGCTACCCAGTCACTCCACCCCAGATGATTGCCCAAGCATCAGAAGGCTGGCCTTCAATAAGAGTTAGTTTTAAACTGCGGTGTCTCCTTTTCCTTCCCTCCTCCCGCACCCCTCCTGGGCTACCTTGGCAATTATCCCCCTAAGTGTGTGATTGTTACTTCACATTCATGCATTCTTTATTAATTCAATGACTTTATTGCCTCTGCAAGCGGTGCTCGAAGGGGGGGAGGGGAGAGTGGGGTGGTTGGTTTTACAGGGAAGTAGAGTGAACGGGGTGGGAGGGCGGAGTGTTCATCAAGGAGAAACAAACAGAAGTTTCACACCGTAGCCTGGCCAATCACAAAACTCGTTTTCAAAGCTTCTCTGATGCGCACCGTGCCCTGTTGTGCTCTTCTAACAGCCCTGGGATCTGGCTGCACGTAATCAGCGGCCAGGCGATTTGCCTCAACCTCCCACCGTGCCATAACTGTCTTCCCCCTTAGTCTCACAGATATTGTGGAAGGCACAGCAAGCAGCTGTGGGGATATTCTTTTTGCTGAGGTCTAAGCGAGTCAGTAAGCTGTGCCAGCGTGCTTTTAAACGTCCAAATGCATGTTCCACCACTATTCAGCACTTGCTGAGCCTGTAGTTAAACAGGTCCTGACTACTGTCCAGGCTGCCTGTATACGGCTTCATAAGCCATGGCATTAAGGGGTAGGCTGGGTCCCTAAGGATCACTATAGGCATTTCAACATCCCCAACATTTATTTTCTGGTGTGGGAAGAAAGTCCCTTCCTCCAGCTTTCGAAACAGAGCAGAGTGCCTGAAGACACGAGCATGATGTACCTTTTCTGGCCATCCCACATTGAGGTTGGTGAAACATCCCTTGTGATCCACCAGGGCTTACAGCAGCATTGAAAAGTACCCCTGGCAGTTTATGTACTCAGTGGCTTGGTGCTCCGGTGACAAGATAGGGATATGGGTTCTGTCTATCGCCCCACCACAGTTTGGGAATCCCATTGCAGCAAAGCCATCCACTATGGCCTGCACGTTTCCCAGAGTCACTACCCTTGATATCACCAGGTCTTTGATTGCCCTGGCAACTTGGATCACAGCAGCCCCCACAGTAGATTTGCCCACTCCAAATTGATTCTCGACTGACCGCTAGCTGTCTGGTGTTGCAAGCTTCCACAGGGCTATCGCCACTCGCTTCTCAAGTGTGAGGGCTGCTCTCATCCTGGTATTCTGGCGCTTCAGGGCAGGGGAAAGCAAGTCACAAAGTTCCATGAAAGTGCCCTTATGTATGCGAAAGTTTTGCAGCCACTGGGAATCGTCTCACACCTGTAACATGATGCAGTCCCACCAGTCTGTGCTTGTTTCCCGGGCCCAGAATCGGCGTTCCACGGCATGAACCTGCCACAGTAACACCATGATTTGCACATTGCTGGGGCCTGTACCTTCTGTGAGGTCTATGTCCATGGCAATTTCCTCATCACTCTCGTCACCGCGCTGCAATCGCCTCATCGGCTGGTGCTGGTTTTGCTTTGGCATGTCCTGGCTCTGTATATACTCCAGGACAATGCGCGTGGTGTTCATAGTGCTCATAATTGCCGTGGTGATCTGAGCGGGCTCCATGATCCCAGTGCTATGGCGTCTGGTCTGAAAAAAGGCGCGAAACTATTGTCTGACGGAGGGAGGGGCGAGTGATGACATGGCATACAGGTACAGGGAATTAAAGTCAACAAAGGTGGCTGTGCATCAGGGAGAAACACAAACAACTGTCATACAGAATGGTCCCTCCCAAAGAGTGAACTCAAAACCCTGGCTTTAGCAGGCCGTTGATTTCACGGAGGGAGGGGGAAGCAAATGAATACAGAACAAATCTATTTTTTACATCTTAAGCTGGCAGCCGACGGTGCAGCATGACTGATAGCCCTCGGCATCTTCTGGGCGCTTGGCAGAAAATAGTGTACTACTACTGATAGCCGCCATCATCATTGGGAAGGCAGCACAATATGACTGGGGGACATACGGAGTTTCAGCCATCATCTGATCGAACTGCAGTATGACGACGACGGATACCAGTCATAATACACCATCTACTGCCAAAAGGCAAGGGGCTGCTGCTGTGTAGCAATGCAGCCCCACGTCTGCCAGCACCCAGATCGCTGATGAAGGCTACCAGTCATACTGCTCTGTGTACTGCCAAAAGGCAATTAGCTGCTGCTGTGTAGCAATGCAGTACCGTGTCTGCCGGCACCCAGATGACATGTGATGGTGAACTGAGCTGAGCGGGCTCCATGCTTGGCATGGTATGTTGTCTGCACAGGTAACCCAGGTAAAAAGGTGTGAATCGATTGTTTGCCGTTGCTATGACGGAGGGGGAGGGGCCTGACAACATGTACCCAGAACCCCCCATGACACTGTTTTGCATCATTCAGGCATTGGGATCTCAACCCAGAATTCCAATGGGCGGCAGAGACTGTGAGAACTGTAGGATAGCTACCCATAGTGCAATGCTCCGGAAGTCGATGCTAGCCTTGGTACTGTGGACGCAGTCCGCCGACTTGATGCACTTAGAGCCATTTTATGTGGGGACACACACAATCGGCTGTATACAACCGATTTCTATAAAACCGCCTTCTATAAATTTGACCTAATTTCGTAGTGTAGACATACCCGTAGACTATTACACATCCAACTCCAGATAAATTAGACAGCATGGCAGTTGGAAAGAAATATTAACTTAAGGTGAACTATGCAGGCCCCCTGTCAAAGTTGATGTTTTGTCACAGCTGGAAAGTATAAACAACCAGGGATCCATATTCCATCTGCAGACTGAACTTCACTGTACCTCTGTGCTGCTTGTAAGACCAGGCTTTCATATTTCATCTCTTGGTGGAACACATTCTTAAGCTAATCTTTTAGGTAAGAGCTTGTGCACCTATGAAATTGTATCAATGATAATTAAATCTTAATACAGTGATAGGCAGGAGATAAATGAATACAAACACTGGATGTAACCCATAGATTGACATAAAGGATTAAGCAACCTTATTGGTGAATGACCAGAGTTACAGAACTATATGATGAAGTCATACTACAGAATCTGCCAGTGAGTTCTTTATTTCTCTTCTAGAAGAAACAAATCCGACTTTTGTACCGTTTCCTGACTTTTAAGATAAACATTATCCAAGTTAATGCTCTAGACAATGCAACAGAAAAGTGCAGGTGCCTAGTGTACATACTGAAGTTAGCTTAAGATGTAGCAGAAGTGTTGATCAATTGCATGGTTTGGCAAGTCACACTTGTAGGCTTTTCCATGTCTCAAATAGCAGTCAGGTATCATCTGACAGTCTAGTTCAAAATTCACTCATGAGAAACAACAGAAAACTTACAAATTGAGGAGGAAGGAGCAGCAGGCTACCAACCTTCCCATTACCTTTGAAATAAATAATGGAAAGTTAGAGTGGTGAGGCATATTAGAATTCGTTGATGGTGTCAACAAGCATCCATAGCGTGTACCTGGACTTCCAGAAAGCTTTTGAAGATGTCCCTCACTAAAAGCACTTAAGGAAAATCAGCTGTCATGGGATGAGAGGGAAGAGTCTCTCATCGATCAGTAACTGGTTAAAAGATAGGAGACAACAGCTAGGAATAAACAATCAGTTATCAATGGAGGGAATTAAATGGGGGGCCTAAGGATCTGTAGTGGGAGCTGTGCTGTTCTGGAAAAGGGGATGTACAATTGAGAGGTGGCAAAATTTGCAGATAATACAAAATTCCTTGTTAAGTCCAAAGCTGACTGCAAAGAATCTCACTAAAGTGCATGACTGAATTTCATCTGCCATTTTGTTGCCCAATCTGGCTAAATTCAAAGTAATGCATATTATAAAACAATCCCAACTACACATACAAAATTAAGAAAGAGATCTTAGAGGCATTGTGGATAGTTCTATGAAAACTTCTATTCAATGTGCAGCAGTAGTCAAAAAAGCTAATAATGTTGGGAACCAGTAGGAAAGGGATAAATAAGATAGTAAATATGCCACTATATAAATCCATGGTATTCTCTCTTCCTCCCCTCCCCCCCTTTGAATACTACATGCATTTCTGGTTACCCCATCTCAAAAAATATTAAGAATGGAGAAGGACAACAAAAAAGGTATGGCACAGCTTCCATGTGAGGAGAGATTAAAAAGACTGGGATGATTGAGCTTGGAAAAAGAAATGACTAAGGGAGGGGATAGAGGTCTATAAAATAACATGAGAACCAAGGGTCACCCAATGAAATGGATGATGGGATGGATCAATTAAAATTGCCCGATTCTATTCATTCCCTCTACAGCAGCTGACATTGGCCACTGTCAGGAGACCGAATATTGAGCTAGACCAGAGGTTCCCAAAGTGGGCGATACCGCCCCCT